AGTGATTTACCTCATTCGTGCCCCCACAATCACTGAGCAGAAGACAACAACCACTCAGCTCACAACCACAATCATCTCCTCTACATCCAGAGCATCAACAACTGTGTATTTGACAATTACCACATCCAGTGCCCCAACAACCACTCGGCAGACAACATTGAGCGTATCCACAACCACTCAGCTGACAACCATACCGAGATCCTCCACATCCAGAGTATCAACAATCGTGGATTTGACGACCACATCCAGTGCCCCAGCAACCACTCAGCTGACAACCACTCCCAGCTCCTCCACATCCAGAGCATCAACAACCACATCCTCACTGACCACATCCATTTCATCCACAGCTGCAATTCCCTCTTCCATCTATTACTTCATTTCGGCCCTCAGCAACAACATCCAGTATCCCAACAACCACTCGGCAGACAACCACATCCAGTGCCTCCATGCCCAGAGCCTCAACCACCCCTCAGCCAACAACTACATCCAGCACATCTACAACTACATCCACAACCTCAACAATCACTGTTAGTGCTTCTACGACCATTCAGCCGACAACCACATCCAGAGTTTTCACAACAACACATCCAGCAACGACATGTGGTGCTCCAGCGACCACTTTCGAGGCCTCCACGTCCACTCCAACAACCTCAGCTCATCATCTACACAGCCAATGACCACATCCAGTGCCCCAACAACCACTTATTAGCAACAACATCCAGCACCTTCATGACCAGGCATCCATCGACCACATCCAGTGCATCTATGACCACTCAGTCGATAATCACATCCAAGCCATCTATGATTCCATCGAGAGCCTCAACAACCATTTCCAGAGCCTCAACAACAACAGATCCATCAACCACATCTGGCACTCCAATGACCGCATTCAGCTCCTCCACAGCTACACGGCCATCGGGCACATCCAGTTCCCCAACAACCATTCAGAAGTCAACCCCATCCCGTGCTCTAACAACCACTGAGGAGACAACCACATCTGGTGCTACCTAAACACCATATGTGGTGGCTGAAGACACGGTGATGAGGATTTACCTGATCTTCACCCATCACTGAGTTTCTACTATGTCGTTAAAATAAATCATAATTTAGTTTTAGTTCCTGTATTCTTTCTCTGTTTTCTATTTGACATGACAGATCTGATGCTAAATTTAAGTACCTTTTAATTTGGATTGGGTGTTGTAAAACACATGCCTGATTAGTGAATTTACATGTTAACAGACAGCTGCTTGATTACACTTGATTACTCTGGTTGTCATCCATTTTTTTAAAAGAATATCAAGTCTCATTTTCAGTGACATTTGGACCCTGCTCTCTTCTCAAACACACCATTTAGTTTGTACATTTGGAGGATAAACATAGAAACAGTGACTCTGCTTCAGAGTCAAAAGCTGTAATTTACGTCACAGTGCATTGTGACACGAGTCAGGAACTTGTGATTCCAAAGTGTTCGAACCTGGACACAAACTAGTTTGAATGCAGATCCCTCCCTATTGACAGCACTGCTGGTTGACCACCTTTCTTTCTTGTAGCTGTAAATTCCTTTGTGTTTGAAACTGATCTGGTGATGCAATAACTGCCTCTGTGCTATAAAACAGAAGACGGATTTCTAGCTGACTTCCATAAACCACACCTGCAAAATGGAGAAACTCAGTGGCTCATTTTCTACCTGATCACTGTGCTATAAAATGTCCGTTTGCTATGTTTACTCGTAGGGAATCTTTGGATCCATTGGGTTTGTCATGTTTCACATTGTAGGTTCCTAACCTTAATATTTGAACGTGTCTGGGTATTTGTATTGAATATAACATTGTAGGACCTCAGCAATATGCAATTTAACCAGAAAAAATATTTATAAACAGTATTGTTGCATCCTAACATTACAAATTTAAATTGGTAGATACATTTGTATTTTATGAAATCCTGTAGGGTCCTAATGTTGATATTTACATAAGTCAGGAAAAGTTGTTTTGTGTTATATATTTTATGGCCTCAACATTAACATGTAATTTAGTATTTTATGTAACACAGCAGGGTTACAACACTAATATTCAAACTTGTCCATTAGATCTGTGTTATTGTGTGATATTGTAGGGTCATAAACTTATTTAAATGAGGACACTGTTTTCCACAATAGTCATAACCTCAATATGAAATGAGGTATTTTGCCCTATGCATAAAATTGTAGGGTCCTAACGATAAATTACTAAAGTTAATTAGTATTTTAATATAACCTTGGAGGGTCCAAACCATAATATTTCACCTTGCTAGGTAAGTCTGAGGTTCTGATCATACATCATTACATGAAAACAAACTATGTAAATGAAGTAAATTTGCATGCTATGTAATAATCTGGGGTCAGTATTTAAAGTAGTCACGTAAATTTGTATGAATTGTGAAGTTCTAATGTCATTCTTAACCTTAATGTTTAATCTTGACTCTGTTCCAACCAACTGTTCTTTCTGCTTCTGCTTCCTGCATCAGAGCTCTTAGAGACCTGTTCCTGCTGTGGAGACAAAACTCTGCTGCAGAGTAATCTGATTACTGGGGGGCCTGAGTTTTGGTTAGGTAGTTTTGTAATCTGGCATCATAGTCAGTACCCTGCTGCAGAGTAATCTGATGGGAAAGAATGAGCTGATTTCATATTGGAGTCGTTTTTCTTCTTGTTGTTGTTTTTAATCTGTCGAAATTACAGACCTTGAAAAAGTCAGTAACTTTTAGAAACACGTTTCCTGCAGAGTTTTGTTGACACGCTGCTCCAGGTGAGTTACCTGCGGAGGTGCCGCCACCTGCTGTCCATCCGGGTGTTCTGCGCTGTGACTGCTGCGGTGAAACCTGACGTCCAGGCAGCTTCACACTGCAGCTCACTCGGGTTCTGTTCCGCGTCTGCACCGGCCCACCGGCTCCCGGTGTTCTGACCGAGCACCGGACGATGGACGGAGCAGCCAATGGCAGCGCAGAACAGTGTCTCCATGGTAACGGCGGATAGTTTGGGGAGGGGCCTCGCAGTGAAACGGAAAAAGCAGCAGGTAGAAACAGACCGAGAGAGAACACACACCGCGCTGCTGCTGCTCCAACACCGTCAGTCTGTTTCAGGTAAAGTCCACTGTCCTGTCGAGCTTCGTGTCTCTGCTGTGTGGGCTCCTCTGAGCTCCGTTCAGCCTCATCAGTAACACCTGATTGATGTGACTGATCAGGGATGGCGGGGACGTCGAGGCACGACCGTGAGATGGCGCTGAGGGCCAAGCGGCAGCTGGCGGCCTGTTCGGACCCGGTGGAGAAGCTCCGCCTCCAGTGTCTGATACGAGGCTCCTCAGGGATCAAAGGCCTGAGCAGGTGAGCTCCGCCCACATCACACACCTGTCCACACTGTGCTCCTGCCTGCGGGTAGGAGATCAGCTGGAGGTCCAGGTTCAGGCCTTCAGTGAGCAGAAGTCATCCCATCCTGCAGTTTAATGTGGAGCATGGACGTCCTGTTCAGTCACTACACGCTGTATTGATCGCTGATGGATCAATAATACCACTCCGGTAGCTCAGCTTAGCATTAGCTAACACAGTCTCACTACCACAGGGACTGAATCCACCGTCCGTCCCAGGGTTCCCCTCGGTTTAGCAGCATCATCACACGTGTTCCTGCTTTAATAAGCAGAAGCTTCAGGTGGAACATTTAACACTGGAGAACCATTTGAATGTTCTCTGACCCACTCTGGGATCCTGAACCTCATGTTGAGAAACACTGCCTCAGAGTGCCGTGACACTGAACAGCTGCAGCACACACAAAATAGGAACCTGTGAGTACGCGTATGTCAGCATTGTTCTGAACCACTGGTGACATGTACTCAGTTACAGCAGTTGTAGTTGAGTATCAGCACCGGCAGGTGTGGGCTTAGATAAGAATACTGCAGTACTCGTAGTACTGTGTCGCTCTGAGGTTTCCTGTCAGAGGATGCAGGATGTTTTTCTGTTTGTCTTCATCGTGTTGCTTTCATCCTGCTTTGGTTTGTTCATGTTCAGCTGTACACCCAGTACCTGCAGTATCTGTACTGATGCAGTATTTGTACTAGTGTAGCATTTGTACCGATGCAGTATCTGTACTGATGCAGTATTTGTACTAGTGTAGCATTTGTACCGATGCAGTATCTGTACTGATGCAGTATCCGTTGGAGCTGCTGCAACTGCAGTACTTGTAGTATTTGCAGTATATGCAGTACTTTCAGTCCCTGCAGTATCTGCATTTGCAATATTTGCAGTGCCTGTGGTGTTTGGAGTCCCGGCAGGTTGTGAGAAGTATTGATCAGTCCTGAACCAGGAAGCCCGACTAATGGGTCAGCAGGTGTCGAGCCTGAAGTCAGAGTTCAGTGTCACGAAGGAGGTTCTCTTTTACCCTGGTAGGTCTCCATGGTAACTGATGCTGAGGAGCTAGGTCTCCATGGTAACTGATGCTGAGGAACAAAGTGAACAGAGTCTGAAGCAGGAAGTCTGACTGATGAGGAAAGCTGAACCTCCTTCATGATACCTGTGGTCTCTGCTCCAGCTTTAGTTCATGTGGAGCCGCTACACAGAGAAAGTCTGGATCTGTTGAACTGGCTTTGCAGTATACCCCTCTGCTTCGTCCTGACTCTGTTGTGTGCTGTAGAACCTTCAGGATCATGGATGATAACAGCAGCCGCTCTCTGGACCTGAAGGAGTTCCTGAAGGGTCTCAATGACTTCGGGCTGGTGCTGGAGAAGGACGAGGCCATGCAGCTGTTTCAGCACTTGGACCGGGACGGCAGCGGAGCCATCGACTTTGACGAGTTCCTGGTTGCTCTCAGGGTGAAGCTCATACCGACTCAGGTTCAGTGTGAGAACGTTGGACCTTCAGGTCAGACGTTCTCCTTCCAGAGCTGCTCTCAGTCTGCACATAGAGATGTACTGACCAGCTCCAACCTGAGGCCGCTCCTGTATCCACATCCTCTCTCACACAAATGTGGTCATTTTATACATTTTCTGATCATTTCAGCTTCATCACCCCGTAATCAATGAATGTATGATGCTAATGGAGCTAACCACATATTTAGCATGTACAGATATCGCTGTTTGAAGCAGCTTTGTCACTGGAACATAAAAATGAAATATGAGCTTGGTGCATTGGCCAGAGCTCATGAACCTCCTCAGAGTCTCTGTCATGGTCCCGTTGCTGCTAAACTCCCACAATGCTCTCTGCTGCCACCATGACTGTAGTCTGAGTCTCTACAGGGTTAAACAGGAAGAGGCTCCACCTACTGGAACAACACGACTTTATCTGCTGCCTCACTGGTTCATGCTTGTAAAGGTTGATTAGTCAGTAACTGCTCTGAACTAGATGGCAGCAGCAGACAGACTTATGCAGTCACAGTGAAGGAGCAGCTCTGGAATAAACAGCAGAGAAGGTCCATCAACTCTCCTGCAGGAGCTCACTGACTTCTGCTCTCTCCTGCAGCCGCCGATGTCCAAGGCCCGGAAGGAGGTGGTGATGCAGGCGTTCAGGAAGCTGGATAAAACGGGTGACGGGGTGATCACGGTGGAGGACCTGCAGGGGGTGTACAACGCCAAGTACCACCCCAAGTACCAGAACGGGGAGTGGACGGAGGAGCAGGTGTTCAGGACCTTCCTGGACAACTTCGACTCGCCGTACGACAAAGACGGGAAGGTGAGGCGCTGCCGTCGCTGTTGGTTCCAGCTGCTCAGAGCAGCCGGCCTCTGCGGTGTTCAGTGATGCAGTGTGTTCCCATCTGAAGGTGACCCAGGAGGAGTTTATGAGTTATTACGCCGGAGTGAGCGCCTCCATCGACACCGACGTCTACTTTATTGTGATGATGAGAAACGCCTGGAAACTGTGACTTCTGGTAAAGCGGCGGAGTGTTGGGTGCTGGTGAAGGTTTCTCCTGCAGTTCTCTGTAGAAGCTTCGTTCCTCAGGCGGCTCCTGGCTGGTCTGGAGACCTTCTGCACTGTGTGGCTTTCCCTGTTCAGAATCAAGTTTGATCCTCACAACCAGCAGCTCAGTAGTGAACTCGTCTGTGTCATGTCTCCGTCTCTTTTCCTCTTCCTCTTCTGCAGCTTCACTGTTTCCATCCTCAACCTCTAAATCTAAATATTCCACGACGACATGGGAACTCCTTCACTTCACACTTCTTTATATCTAGTTTCTACATTTATTGTAAGATTTTTAGGACAGTTTATTCATATTTTGTTGGATTTTTTTAAAACGGTTTTATTGCTGTTTTTGGACAGTTTTCAGACATTTTGTGAACATTTGGTTTTTTGAGACACTTGACATTGTCTGACTATTGAAGACTGTTGCCAGGCCTTTGTAAGAACACTTTTCATACATTTTAGAGGTTGTTTTCTGCTCTTTTTTAAAAGATATTTTTCTGACTTTTTATTGACATTTTGTTAACATATTAACTTTTTTACATATTTTTTTTGACAATTTTCAGACATTTTTCTGCACATATTTTAAAACATTTTTTAAAAACCTGCTTGGTATTTTCTGACATGATAGATGACTTTATTGTCTCAGATGTTTCTTTCATATTTTAGGACATTTAATCCTTTTAAAGACATTTTTGGGACATGGTATTCTTTTTTTGCATATTTTATTAACATGTTTATAAAATTGTCTGATTACAGTGGAGTCATTTCTTTTAAGATATTTTAGAGACATTGTATGAGGTTTATTTTTTACCTTTTGAAGGCATTTTATTGTTTTTCGTTGTTGTTGTTGTTTTGCTCACACTTAAAGCTTTGGGACAGTCGTCTTTAATGATTGTGGGAGATTTATTTTTTTCTTTTAATTGCTCCACCATCCGTGTGCAGCAGCAGCTTCCTGTTGGAGCTACTTTACTTTAGATCAGTTTATGTTCAGCAGGCTTCATGGGAGAAGAAAGAAGAACAAGCTAAGTTCTGATCCACAAATCAGGTCCTCGTTCCTCTACTGCCTAATCTTGTTTCTGCTGAGCTGTTGGATCATTGCAACATTTACTGAAGTTTAGAGGGAAGCATCTTTTCTTGGTGAAGCGTTTACCTCCCAGACATCCGGAGCGTGAGGCGCTGAGGTTGGAGGTTTTAATGTGTGCCGACTGTCATTCTGTCAGATGAATGTGGCGTACACGCTCTGAGCCAGGTTTCAGTTTGACTCCTGAATGTGCTTCTTGTCGTCTGATCTGACCGTCTGACGAAACGTTCCTTCTGACCGACAGGTGACCAAAGAGGAGTTTGTGAGCTACTACTGTGGCGTCAGCGCCTCCATCGACAGCGACGTCTACTTCATCCTGATGATGAAGAATGCCTGGAAGCTCTGAGGATGAGGTCGAAGCAGACGAACCACCAGACCAACACTTTAATTCATTCTTATGATCAGATGTGTGTGTTTCTAACAGCTGGAACTGATTCTTTCAATAAAGGAGAAATCGTTTCTATAGACGGGTGTAGCTTCGTGGTTGACAGTGACTCTGACTGTTCTGTGATTGTAGACACACAGACACAGGAGGCCCTCGGACCGGTTTTGTTGACTTTATTGTATGTTAACATGCAGCATGATTAAATAAAGCGTGGTTCTGTCCGGACAGTGCGCTGAGTCCAGAGGAGCCTGCAGTGGATGGAGCCGACCCTCCTGCGCTTGCTGGAGGCGCAGGTTGTGTCAGATGTTAAAGCAGCAGCATCGTGTCTCCGTGACGACAACCACAAACAAACAGCCGGGCCAGGTCGTCATGGCAACACACCCACCCCTCCCTCCAGACGCGGTGCCCTGTGGTTGAGGGTGAACGAGACAGCAGCAGCTTCGGTTCTCTGATGGATCTGAGCAGCTTTTAAAGAATCTCTCCAGTGTTTTTGTATGTTTTAGTCACAAACCGCTGACGTTCTCCCGACTGAGCCCCAACAAGGAACACAGGCGTCCTTCTGTTTGTTCTAGTGGTCGAGTTGGACTGTAGGGAGTTCTAGTAAACACTTGGTAATTACAGGGGTCACGGCCTGGTTCTGGCCGTCCCTTAGAAGGTTCAAGGTGCCTTTTATATGGTTCTATCAGTTAGTCAGGAGGTTCTAGGGGTCTCTTACATACTAAAACTAAAGCTGTACAAGGAACTATCTAGGTGGTTCCAGTTGGGAGGTTAAGGTGATTCTTGTGGCGGTTGGAGTCATAGTGTTTGCCAGTCTTTGAGGTGGTCCTGTAGGTTCTTGCTGTGGTTCTCTAGGAGCTTCTGTGGCTACAGAGGAGTTTGTAGGAACCACTGAGGGTGCTGAATACCTACTGACGATTTAGTATTGATGTTTATTTCCACAGATTTGCTCTTTGACAAGGACCAGTACCAGTTCTAGAGGCTTGTGGTGGAACATCTACTAACTCAGACTGGCGCTGGTTTGTCTGCAGGTCAGAGCTGTGGGACGCGACAGACAACACGACAATGTTCTGGAAGCATTCAGGTTTCTGGGATTTGGAGTAAAACATACAAAAACACCAGTTCCATGTTGTAGGGTTCCTCCAGCAGCAGAGGGATGTCAGTTTATAAGGTACAGGGATACAGCGGCTACAGTCACATGGCATCAGGAGCAACAGGACGCTGAGGGTCAGTGACCTCACATCGGACCAGCTCATTTAGGGGAAAGACTGTCTTCATGGAAAGTGAGTGATCTGAACATGACGCTGCTCCTGAAGACATGAACGTGGTCACTGAATACAACGTTCAGCAGGTTGATGCTCACGCTGAGAGCTGAGGCTGTTTGACCAGCAGCACGTCAGGAACGATCAACCTGAAGTTTTAACTGTTTCTCATCACGTCATTGATTCAGAATCTGTAAACTGATCAGCAGATCAATAGTCTTTTGGTTGTCAGTGAATTGAAAAGCCGTCATGAAAAGTTCCATCTTTGAGCACATTAGCAAACAAATGATAATACAGAAGTGAGGTGGTGATGCAGTAATAACACAGTCACACGAAGCAGAACACTGAGCAGGTCTGACCAGTTCAATTAGAAAAACTGAAATATGGGTCAATGTTCTGATCCGGGTAGATCAGAGTTCTGGAGTTTTAAACAGCAAATACGTGCAAAAACTGCTGAAAGTGGAAAGCATTTGATGTATGTATCTAAAAGTTTACCTTTATAAATACTTTATGCCAAAAGCTTTGGGTCAGGTGTGGAGCTGGTGGAGCAGAGACACTGCTGAGGAGCATCTGACTCATTTAATGTTCATTCATGTTTCCTGGGAGTCGACTCCAAGCTAACAGCGTTTCTGCATTTTATCTAAACGTGTGGACACAAAGGGAAACTTTATAAACAGCAGGTTGTGTTGGTTGGTTCAGGAGCCGTTACGAGTCCAGTCCTCCAAGGTTTAAACACATAATATGACTCAGCTTTGTAGGAGATGGTACCGTGTGATTAGACATACATTGACAGCACGTTGCGACTGATGCTCTAAACCAGGAGATCCAGCCAGTACCTGGACCAAACCCACCAGCTACACACCTGTGATGCTTCAGGAGAACATCTGGTTCTGATATTGGCCGAAGAGTCGCACATTTCCAGTCCATCATGACGTTCTTTGGTTGAATCCGATCCTGCTGCTCTTCTTCGGCTACTTGATCTGATAGAAGCTGGACATGGTGACGTAGGCCTCCTCCTGCTGACCCGCTCCAAACACCTCCACCTCGTGTCCTGCACTGATCCGGTCCGCTTCAAGGGAGTCGGGTCTCTCCATCGGCTGAGGAACGTTGACAGGGGACGGACTGGAGCTCTGGAGGCTGTCCTCACCGGAGGAGGAACTCAGCAGGGCGGACAGCTCCAGCTCCTCGGTGCTGATGCTGGTGGTGCTCCTGCAGCTGGAGCTCTGGGTGGAGCTCTGGGTGGAGCTCTGGGTGGAGCTTGGGTTACTGGACTGAACAGCAGCAGCAGGATTGATCGAAGGCTCCACCTCCTCACAGCTCGGTTTCTCCACTGGGTAGACCCTGAGAGCGCTGAATACCTCGGGCTTGAAGTTCAGTAAGAGACCCTGTAAAAGCAGAGGATCGTCATGCTCAGTTAGTGCAGTGCAGCAGGAAGACACGACGGAACATCTAGGCGGTACCAGAGGTGAATTAGGAGGTCCTCTGGATGGACACACAGGGGGTTCTAGGGATCTTTTATGTGGTTTGAGGAGCTTTGAGGTATTTGTCAAGGTCCTTCAGGTGGTTCTGTTAGGAGCTGAGGTAGTTCTAGTAATCCTCTGGGGGATTCTAGTGGTTCCTCAGAAAGTTCTAGGACTCTTTTATGAGATTCTTGTGTACGGACAAGATGCTCTCAGGATTCTTCAGGTGGTTCTAGTGTGGTTCTGCTGGTGCTTTATGTAATTCTAGTAGTTAGTAGGAAAGTCCAGGAGATCCGGTAGTTCTTTGGTGTTGCTTTAAGGTGATTCTAGTCAATCTTTAATTCAATCTAATGAATCAATAAGGCAGTCCAAAAAATCATTTGGGTGGTTCTAGTGGTCCTCCAGCTCGTTCAAAGGATCTTTCAGAAAGCTGAAGGTGTCCGTCAGATGGTTCTGTTAGTCAGTCAGGAGGTTATGGGGATCTTTTATGGGGTTCTTGTGGTCCTGTAGTAATTGTAATGGTTCTAGGAGATCGGTTCTAGTCATTCTAGTCGCTCAGAGGATCATTTAGGTGGTTCTAGTGGGGCAGAGGTTCTGACTATAAATCCTCCAACTGTTCCAAGTGTCTGTCACCTGAATATGAATCTGTGTTGTTTGGGCTCACCTGAACCTGGATGCTGTTCTCTTGTGGACGACTCACCTTGTTTGGTTTGCAGATGTGCACCAGAGTCTGTTTGGGATGCGGGATGCTCGGCCACATGTAGCTGAATATTCTAACGGAAGCAGAAAACACACATGAAGAAACGAAGGCGTCTGAAGTCACCGACTTTCTCACAGAAAAGACGACGTACTTGTTTTTCCAGCCGATTACGACGCTGGAAGTCACCACCACCAGCGAGACGAGGCACACAATCAGTTTGTAGGCCGTCTGGTTTGGGAGCTTCTTCTCTGGAGGCACAAAGGAGCAGCTCAGTATCGTCTTGGCTGTTTTAGAGACGCTGTGGCGGCAGGATCGATTCCTTATTCTTACCAGCAGGAGTAACGAAGCTGAAGGTCTCGCTCCACTCGCTCCAGCTGCCCTGAAACCTCTGAGGGATGGCTCGCACTTTGACGTGGTACTCGGTGTATTTTTTGAGGCGCTCCATGTCGATCAGCAGGCTGTCCTTCGCTGACACGTTTTGAATCTGCTCAGAGAAAAGAAACTGATACTGAACAGAAATAACAGGTGAAGCAGGATCAACAGCAGGACTGCAGCATGACGGCTCGACAGACGATTCTGAAGTAAACGAGGTTTTCAGTGTGGACAAAACAAAGTCTGCAGATACCGTGCTGCTGCCCGCGCTGCAGATGTGCAGCTGGAACACCTGGTTGTCCACTTTCAGGTAGTCTTTGTCATACGGAGTCCGAAAGTGGATGGCAGCCTGGTTCAGCTCGAGGTCGAAGGTGACGTTCCACACCTGAGGACTCCTCGGTTTGACTGCAGAGACAGAGCGAAGCAGCAGAGGAGCACGATGAGAGGTTCTCTGGAAGAATATGCTACTGTGACCAAGCAGGAGGAACCAGCGCCAGGAAACATCAGGATTCATACATCTGTGTCCAGAGGCTTCACCGCTACTTCATCTACCCTTTACAGCATGTTTACTGTTTACCAGCGATCATCACGGATCGGTCTGGACAGCGGTCACCCTGCTGCTCTACGTCAGCACACTCCTGTCCTTTCACGCCTGAATCACTGTGTGAGGCTATTCTTCTATCTAATGTCTGAACCACTAAAATGTGACAAAGATGATTAAAAATTGAGGCAAAACACTCAGAAATGATGTAAAATGACCAAGATGGGACACGAAACGACCCAAATGTGACAAAACCCACAAAATGACGCTGAGTCACTAAAATGTGAAATAAACAGAATCTACACATTGACCAAAGGTGTGTAATTAGCAAAATGACAAAAACAACCACAATAAGAACATGTCACAGAATGACAGCGGTCCTGGTCCGGTAGTCGGGTTGACACTGGAAAATGATTTGGTTCCGGCATCATCTGGTCGCTCTGCTGCTGCTAGTTTCACTTCTACAGATCTAGAGAGATGATGAGGCCCTGACCCAACCACACAGACACTCAGACGAGTCGGGCTGAAATAAGGTTCGCTGATCAGGAGAACCGACACCAACAGAGCAGCAGTTCTGAGGATTCTACCGCACCCTGGACTTCATGCTGTCCTTCTGTGGGAGGCTGTATCCAGACTTATGACAAAAGGAAACCAAGAAGACAGCTGAGTCCTCCTACCAGACATCTACATGGGGTCCAGGTCCTACAGCAGCCAGGTCAGAGACCGGTCTACATCGATGTAGGTTTAGACTGATGTCCTACACGTCGCACAGACTCTTGGGGAGGAGGTCAAACGCTCAGTATCATTCTAACAGAGCCTTAAGTACAAAGAGAACAAAGTCGTCTTTCCTTCACGGTAACTGCAGAGAAGTGCTGCTGGCTGAGGGCTGCACCAGAAGCTCTACCATCAGTGTGTGATGGAGGTAATGTGTCGTCACATCATTCAAACCCTTGTGGGTGCAGCGCCGGTGTCTCCTCAGAGATGTGACGGAGGACAGAGCTCTGGGATTCCAGTGGACAATTCACTGTGAGAGACAAACAGTATGTGACGTCTGTCGACTACGTGAACATCACGTGATCCTGAAGACAAACATGATTGGAGGGTTGGTGACTCGGGGGTGAAGCCTGCAGCTGCTCTATGAAGGAACTTATCAGACATCACAGAGACCCGTGTGAGTCCCTCTGGTCACCGATGCTGCAGATGGACTCTGGCTGATGTCAGAAACCGACCGTCAGAGTCCTGCGAGGTCCACCAGCTGTTCTGGTTCTGCAGCTGCAGTAAAACCAGACTTGAGACAAAGATCAGTCGGACTGATCGGAGCCTCATCATCCAAAATGTACTCTTTAAACCATCCCAGCGGTCTGGAGTGGAGCTGAGAACAGGATGCACTGATGGTGAGAATACCGGTGGAGAACAGCTGTGGTGCATACAGGAAGTGAGAAGCTGTTTAAAATACATCATTTACTAAAAACAAGCGAACAGCAGGACTGTGTTACTGCACGATCCAGACCTTCAGCAATAAGGCTGCTGCTGGGAGGCTGAAGGGGATTCTAGAAGGTCGCTCGCTGAGGAGGACGAAGCCGACGTCTGCAGTCTGCACCCAGTGAGTCAGACTAGGAGAACTATGACTCGACTGTTGGTGCAGCTCAAGCAGACGTGAGTCATTTCATTCTGTCAGTAAATATCTGCTTTAGTGAAGGAACCTAAAAGATCTCATGAACCTTCCTAATTCTCCACTGGAACCATCTAATGACCTTCTGAACTGCCTAACTGTTGACCAAATGGACCAAAAAGGCCACAAGAAAGATCTGCAGCATCACTAGAACCTCCTTATGTGATCACAAAACCATCCAAAGGATCATAAAAATCCTCTTGACCTCATAACTGAGGAACAGAATTACCTGAAGAACCCGAGACCCTGTTGTGTTGCCTGGTAACTAGAACCATATAAACAGCCCTAGAGCCTCCTGGTGAACGGCGGTGTTTACCTATTTTCTGCAGGTCGACTGTGGTGGAGATGTTGCCTCCTTTCTTCAGGTGGACGGTCAGGTTGAGAACCAGCAGAGGCGTCAGATGTTCGGAGCTGATGGTGTCTCCGAGCTGCTGCAGGCAGCTGAAGCCCTCCCTGCTGGACCAGTTGGTGTAGCTGAGCAGAGAACAGCTCCGTCAGTGACCCAGTGATGCTCAGGACGGTGCAGTGAGTTTTTAAACGTGCTCACCACAGGCTCATCCTCTCGATGCCATCCTCATCGTCCTCAGCATCTTCATCGTCGCTGCCGCCTCCCAGCAGCTTGCAGGTCAGACTGCATCCTTTGGTGGCGATGTGAGAGCTGCAGCTGATCCTGGGCTCTGAGAGGAAACAACCTGCAATCAGCACTGCACTCAAACCACGGAGACACAAAGCAATAGAACGGGTTCTTAAATGGTTCCTCAGAAGGTTCTCTGGTTCTTCAAAGCATCATTACCAGCTGAAGGGCCTGAGCTGATTTCATAAAAACGGCTTTAAATTCTAAATATGAGTCAAATATTAATACAGAAGACTGTGTTTGCTATTATTTCATACCTGAGATGTTGTCTTATATTAATTCAGTCTGTCAGCTGTTCAGTTCATGGATAACTCTCTGGCTGTTTCATCAGCAGGATGACTTCATATTCACAACAAATGCTCAGCTGACAGGACTGCTGGCAGTCTGCTGCCTTCCAGCTGACTCTGGACCTTGGTGGTTCTGGTCCTGCTGAGTCCCTCGGTCGGGTCTCTAAACACAAAGCGCTTCACCTCGGCAGACTGTGCTCAGATGAGTCCCGCCTCCAACAGGAAGTGGGACTCAATAACAAACTGCTGTGAAGGTTTTTTGTTTTTACTGCAAATAAGCATCAGTTCCAGAAATCAGTTGTCAGTCTCCTTGATTAGCAAAACAAACGAACCAAACATGAAAAACCCATCCGGTTCCCTGATGTGGGGCACAAAGCTCAGATCTGAAATGTAATCCAGTGATGTTGTCTCATCCTACGAGCAGACAGGAAGCTGTAAACACACGAAAACCCGGTTTCTGGTTCTGTGACTGAAGGATCCTGAGAGAAGAACAGGTGTAGCAGCAACATGTTGACCTTTAACCACCTTCACTCTGAGGCTCACGTCAAGATCAAACCCTCTGATGCGCAGTTTTCCTCGACATCAGCTGCACGCGCTCAGTTACAGCTGCAGACATCAGTCAGTCGGTCGAGAGCTGTTCAACCAACACTTCTGATCAGCGACGAAGCCGTTTGAGTCTTTTTTACTAAACACTTCAATTCTGTCACTTCAGCTCCTTCAGTGAATGTTTTCTGGTTTCTTTCCTCTGTGACACTAAACTGAACATCTCTGGACTAAACCAGACGTTGGCGGAAACTCTGATCCACGTTTTTATCTGCAACATAAAGTCCTGCAGCCCAGTGGAACCAGAACAACCAAAATCTGTTTATTGTTGTTGAACTGTCTCCATGTTTCCAGACTTCTCCTCTGCTCTGCTCATCAGCTGTAGAAAGATGTTCCACCATCAGATGTAGAAAGATGTTCCACCATCAGCTGAATGTATCTCCACCAACTGGCTCCTCTTCTCTGGTTCTGATCCGTGCTGCGTTTATGTATTGATCCAGCGGTTGGGTTCTCTCCTGTCATCTCCGTTCTGCTCAGGTCGGGTTCATTTCCAGACAGAACCACATGCTACGTGTGGCCACTTCAAAGACCATCAGATGTTTGTGTCTGATCTGTGAGTCTGGAGGCTGAACTGAGGCCAGCCTCGGTGTGCGTAGAGCTGCTGACTCCTGGCTGCTCAGCACAGCTGTGGTTACAGCAGAGGTTCTGCTCGACAGCAACACAGATGTCCAGAGGTTCCAACACTCAGCTGATGAATGAGCTCCTTTATGTGACAGCTGGCTGCATGTTTCACAGAACGCCCACAGCTTTTAGGTTTACTTCATGATATCTGCTGAGCCGAGCCTCTGACTAAGACCGAGCCGTGACACATTCCAGGGTCCGGATTTGACTCACTGGTTCAGGCTCGTGCTCGTCTCAGACTGTAAACACTTCATGTTGTCTGTTCTTTAACTGTAACGTTTAAAATAACCCTCACTGGTGGTTTGCAGATGTTCCCTGGTTGTTAAAGCATGGACAATATCTCATCAAATTGCAGAAATAAATAATTTACAAAACTGTAAAAAAGAAAAAAAACAACATAAAACAGGCCAAACTGTGAAGAGTGTCCACACGACGAACCTGCGTTTTTACAAACAGCCCTGTGTTCTTTTGTAATGTTTCACTGCAGAACTGCAGGTTTACTGTATTCAGATGATTGCTGCTCTGTGATGGACGGCTCTGCTCACCCATGTCGGCCTCTCCGTCTCCGCTCTGAGCCTCGCCTCCAGCCGCCAGCAGCAGCAGCAGCAGCAGCAGCATCTCCGTCCAGCTGAGTCCGCCTCACCTGTTCCTCTGCTCTGATCGCATGCTGCCGCTCAGCTGAGAGCTTTTCTGAGCAGCAGAGGAAGGAGGAGTGGCTGATCGACAGAGGAAGCAGGAGGTGTGGGGTGAGGTTAGGACTCTGCTCACAGGATGTTCTGTAAATCTGAAAACATACCATCAGCAGGTTCTCTGCAGAAAAACACCAACAGCACCACTGTTACACAACAGCAGTGTTACATCATTCTGTATCCCTCACAGTAATCCGATTACTCCTACAGCAGAGTACTGTCTCTTATATCAGATTACAAACTACCAGCTCAGATCCACAGATTACCTTCAGGTTCAGCAGCAGGAACTGAACCAAAGTGAGTCCATCTCTGGTTCCTTCAGTCTTTATCTGCTGACAGACTCCTCAGCATGGAGGAGACCAGAGTCCACTAGGTTCTGCTCACGTGTTCTGATGGAGGAGACCAGAGTCCACTAGGTTCTGCTCACATGTTCTGATGGAGGAGACCAGAGTCCACTAGGTTCTGCTCACGTGTTCTGATGGAGGAGACCAGAGTCCACTAGGTTCTGCTCTTTGCTGGAGGGGTTGTGCTGCTCTATCTTTCTCTGGAAAACACCTCAAAGGGTTCTGGTGGACTCAGCTGAGGACTGACACTACCCAGCTCCTGGTTCCACTTGGTTCTGGTGTAGAAGCTCCTGATGATGTTGTCCTCTGATCGATGCCCTCCCCAGTCGCCCAGTCAGGCAGCAGCTTGCCTGGCAGCTCTGTTGAAACGTGCCTGCTGTAGTGAATGAGAAGCTGTGAGCAGCACTGAGGTAGAAAAGAGATCCGAGCCGGCCGTTAACTTTGGAGGCTGAATTTGAAATAGAGTCTTTCTAAAGAGCTTGTTTGTGACGTCCATCAGAGGAAACACTCTGCTGAGAAATCAAACAGTTCTTCAGATCCAGTTTGGAACATGTTTGTGTTGTGGACCGTCACGTCTGACAGCAGCTTGATAACGTGTGAGGCTCTCAGCGAGGACATCAAGGTGTCATTCAGCCCACTGGCTGCAGAAGTCTGAAGGTTTTCTGGTTTCTTTCCTCTGTGACAGCAAACTGAACATCGTTGGACTAAACAAGACGTCAGAGGAAACTCTGATCCACATTTCTTAATACGTTAGAGACCAAGTAGCTGATGGAGTAATCCACAAAGTAACTGACAGTGGAAATCCTGGTGCTATAAATAACGTTTGTGTTTTATCCTGTGGATCATGTGAGCAGACGGCCGGTGTTTTAGAGCAGCTCCATGATTCTGGAGGTCTGATGTGATGTTTGTGCAGCTCTGAGCAAACAGTTGGCTTCTGTCAAACAGCAACCATGAAGTCTAACCAGCAGCCTACAAACCACTTCCTGACTGCTCAACTGATCTGGTTTGTTTTCAGACGAAAGCCGCCGAGTTATCGCGTCTGTGTTTACTACGAGCTGTGAGCTGAAGCCTCCGGCCTCGGCAGCCTGAGACCTGCTAATAATCGTCTCTGACTGGAGACAGACAGCAGCTTCAACGTCTCGGACACTCTTAGTTTCAGTTTTCTTCTCTGGTTTCAGTTTGGCAGCTGAAGAACCGCAGCGTCTCTGTCCATCTTCCTCTTTTCTGCCATCAGCTGCTGTTTCTGTGTGTTCAGCTGCTTCGTTGTGTTTCCCTGCAGCCAGGAATACGCTGCAGCTTCACAGGTGGTTGAGGTTCAGCTACACAGTCTGGGAAGGTTTGTCTCAGCGCAACACAATTTACAGAATCCTGGAGTAAAAACACACAGGGTTTTAACCCGTCTCCTAAATAAATGTCTCTCCCTTGTTTCTCCATGTGTTGCTCAGCCAAATTAAAGGTCTGTGAGTTTTTGAGAGTCTTCTTGAAGAAAGACATAAATGTGATGTTAAAATCGACTCTATCAAGTTACAAAAAATAACAACAGGCGACTGGATCTTGTGTGTTAAAGGGCTCAAAATGAGCGAGAAAATTGCAGCAGAAGATATTGTTCTCCAAAAAAAAATCAAAAATGAAGATAGAGATGGTAAAAGAATCAACTCAGAGAAACAAACATCTGTCTTCCTGGACAAACACAGGAAACAAAAAGGGTCTAAAAAAGAAAAGGATTTCTACGACTACTGTCAGAAGATGTGTGAACGTCCACATTGGAGGATGAAGGGAAACCAGGCAGCTGAGCTAGGCTAGTTAGCTTTTAGCATTAGCAATGGGACTGTTTATTCTTCTTCACTGTGATTAGACGTAGTTAACGTTGTACTTATGTCATGAGGATGTGTGACAGGAAACATCTGGAATGAAGATCAATTAGCTTTGGCTAAGGCTAACTGTTGCTATCACACCAGTTGGAGATGGAGATGGAGATGATGGTGGAAATGGAATTTATGGTGGAAATGATGGTGGAGATGTTGGTGGAGGTGGAGGAGACACAACATGTACACTTTGTGGTTGTTTTGTGTTTCACTCATCACTGAGCTAAAAGCAGGCTGCCTGTTAGCTTTAGCTCCTGTTAGCTTTAGCTCCTGTTAGCTTTATCTGAAGTGGAACCTGGAATTAAAGTCAGGCTGTTAGCAACAACTGAAAACATCCATTTAATTCACCACATGACCGAATGAAGCACAGATAAACAGCTAAAGCTTTGCTAATGCTAACTGATCAGATTTTTGCTGTAAATATCTGAACTTCTTGTTCCATCGCCTGTTCAGACACACGCACACAAAAAGAGAGATTTCAGTCAGTGTTGTCTGTTTGGATTAAAGAAGCTTTTTACCATGAATAAGCTAATGCAGCTAATTAGCATATCCAAACACTCACACAATATGGGTCTAAAGACATACAAAGGTTTTGTCACGTTAGCGAAGGCCAGTTGCAACCAGCTGGTTGGTTTCTACTTTGCTTCTCTTCCTTTTTAAATGACACATTTCTCTGACATAAGAACTTTATTTTCTGGTCTGAACTCGATTCTGACCAGATATGTAGAGCGTGAGTTGATTGGCTGTGTGGTGGGTGTATTTATATCCTGTTTAACCCAGTTTAACCCTGCTGACCTTGTTAGCAGTACACAGACAGATTCGTTATTTATAGGTTTATAGGTACTCTCTGATTTTATCGTGTTTCCTTAGAATCACTCATAACCCTGATTGTGAACCGACCGCCTGCTGCAGGGAATGAACTGGCTCCAGTCTGTGGTCTGTAGACCTGATTAAACACAGCAGATGAGTGTGAGGTCGACCCACGGACGCAGTCATAAACAAAGGTTTCTAACCCTATAAAGTCCACGCTCATCATTCGGTCTACGTCTCCAGTGACTCCTGTAACTCTGAATCTTCTCTGATGGAACCACTGAAACATGAATCTTTGTCACAAGCAGCAGTCCTGCATGTTGCTTTATTAACGGTCTTCTGGAAACATGGGTCAGAAATATACAGACACAAATGCTCATATTTGGTTCTATTTGTCTGTTTTCCCCTCAGTCAGGTTTTTTCTGGTTTGTCTTTGACCCAGTCCAGATTACAGGAGTCACTGGAAACTCACCACCAACAGGATATCAGAAGCCGTGGTTCTGTCTGTATCTCACACATCACTGCTAAAAGTGTGTCTCTAGTATTAGTTACTCCACTCTGACTAAGTCTGAATCTGTTGCTGTCTGTCTGTTGACTGGTGGATTAATGAGCTGCAGCGTTCAGGGTGTTTTCTGGTGAAGCTGACTGTGGGGGAGCAGCAGCTGCCCAGCGCCGGATGAGCTGCTCTGAGGAGCTAAATGAGTCACGACTGCAGCCGTCTCCATGCTGAGCAGCAGCTCCCTGTTCAGGACGTCCTTCCTTACATTTATATACCTGTATAGAAGGTGCATCTATTTATGTCTTTGCACC